TCCTGCCTCCACTACATCGCTTCCCAAACTATTCCACTTACTGACTACTCTATGGCTGAAGAAATACTTCCTAACATCCCTGTGATTCATCTGTGTCTTCAACTTCCAACTGTGTCCCCTTGTTACTGTGTCCAATCTCTGGAACATCCTGTCTTTGTCCACCTTGTCAATTCCTCTCAGTATTTTGTATGTCGTTATCATGTCCTCCCTATCTCTCCTGTCCTCCGGTGTCGTCAGGTTGATTTCCCTTAACCTCACCTCGTAGGACATACCTCTTAGCTCTGGGACTAGTCTTGTTGCAAACCTTTGCACTTTCTCTAGTTTCTTTACGTGCTTGGCTAGGTGTGGGTTCCAAACTGGTGCTGCATACTCCAATATGGGCCTAACGTACACGGTGTGCAGGGTCCTGAACGATTCCTTATTAAGATGTCGGAATGCTGTTCTGAGGTTTGCTAGGCGCCCATATGCTGCAGCCGTTATTTGGTTGATGTGCGCTTCAGGAGATGTGCCTGGTGTTATACTCACCCCAAGATCTTTTTCCTTGAGTGAGGTTTGTAGTCTCTGGCCCCCTAGACTGTACTCCGTCTGCGGTCTTCTTTGCCCTTCCCCCAATCTTCATGACTTTGCACATTGGTGGATTGAACTCCAGGACCAATTGGCTGGACCAGGCCTGCAGCCTGTCCAGATCCCTTTGTAGTTCTGCCTGGTCTTCGATCGAGTGAATTCTCTCATCAACTTCACGTCATCTGCAAACATGGACACCTCAGAGTCTATTCCTTCCGTCATGTCGTTCACAAATACCAGAAACAGCACTAGTCCTAGGACTGACCCCTGTGGGACCCCGCTGGTCACAGGTGCCCACTCTAACACCTCGCCACGTACCATGACTCGCTGCTGTCTTCCTGACAAGTATTCCCTGATCCATTGTAGTGCCTTCCCTGTTATCCCTGCTTGGTCCTCCATTTTTTTGCACTAATCTTTTGTGTGGCACTGTGTCAAACGCCTTCTTGCAGTCCAAGAATATGCAATCCACCCACCCCTCTCTCTCTTGTCTTACTGCTGTCACCATGTCATAGAACTCCAGTAGGTTTGTGACACAGGATTTCCTGTCCCTGAAACCATGTTGGCTGCTGTTGATGAGAGCATTCCTTTCTAGGTGTTCCAACCCTCTTCTCCTGATAATCTTCTCCATGATTTTGCATACTATACATGTCAGTGACACTGGTCTGTAGTTTAGTGCTTCATGTCTGTCTCCTTTTTTTAAAGATTGAGACTACATTTGCTGTCTTCCATGCCTCAGGCAATCTCCCTGTTTCGATAGCTGTATTGAATATTGTTGTTAGGGGTACACATAGCGCCTCTGCTCCCTCTCTCAGGACCCATGAGATGTTATCTGGCCCCATTGCCTTTGAGGTATCTAGCTCACTCAGAAGCCTCTTCACTTCTTCCTCGGTTGTGTGCACTGTGTCCAGCACATGGTGGTGTGCCCCACCTCTCCGTCTTTCTGGAGCCCCTTCTGTCTCCTCTGTGAACACTTCTTTGAATCTCTTGTTGAGTTCCTCACATACTTCACGGTCATTTCTTGTTGTCTCTCCTCCTTCCTTCCTTAGCCTGATTACCTGGTCCTTGACTGTTGTTTTCCTCCTGATGTGGCTGTATAACAGTTTCGGGTCAGATTTGGCTTTTGCTGCTATGTCGTTTTCATATTGTCTTTGGGCCTCCCTTCTTACCTGTGCATATTCGTTTCTGGCTCTACGACTGCTCTCCTTATTCTCCTGAGTCCTTTGCCTTCTATATTTCTTCCATTCCCTAGCACACTTGGTTTTTGCCTCCCTGCACCTTTGGGTGAACCATGGGCTCATCCTGGGTTTTTCATTATTCCTGTTACCCTGGGGTACAAACCTCTCCTCAGCCTCCTTGCACATTGTTGCTACATATTCCATCATCTCATTAACTGGCTTCCCTGCCAGTTCTCTGTCCCACTGAACCCCGGTCAGGAAGTTCCTCATTCCCGTGTAGTCCCCGTTCTTGTAGTTTGGCTTCATTCGCCCTGGCCTTCCTGCTTCTCCCTCCACTTGTAGCTCTACAGTGTATTCGAAGCTTAAAACCACATGATCGCTGGCCCCAAGGGGTCTTTCATATGTCTTGTCCTCGATATCTGCACTACTCAAGGTGAATACTAAGTCCAGTCTTGCTGGTTCATCCTCTCCTCTCTCTCTTGTAGTGTCCCTTACGTGTTGGTACATGAAGTTTTCCAGTACCACCTCCATCATCTTAGCCCTCCATGTATCTTGGCCCCCATGTGGCTCCAAGTTCTCCCAATCGATTTCCTTGTAGTTAAAGTCACCCATGATCAGGAGCTTTGCCCTGCATGCATGAGTTCTTCTGGCCACTGCAGCCAGTGTGTCAACCATCGCTCTAATGCTCTCGTCGTACTCTTGCCTTGGCCTCCTGCTGTTCTGTGGTGGGTTATACATCACTGCTATTACCACCTTGGGACCTCCAGAGTGAAGCGTTCCCGCTATGTAATCACTTTCTTCTCCGCTGTCTCCTCTCTCCAGCTCATCAAAATTCCATCGGTTTTTGATCAGCAATGCCACTCCTCCACCCCCCTGTTCCCTCTGTCTTTCCTCAGGATCTGGTATCCCGTTGGAAAGATGTGTGTGTGTGTGTGTGTGTGTGTGTGTGTGTGTGTGTGTGTGTGTGTGTGTGTGTGTGTGTGTGTGTGTGTGTGTGTGTGTGTGTGTGTGTGTGTTTTGTGTGTGTGTGTTTTGCGTGTGTGTGTGTTTTGTGTGTGTGTGTGTTTTGTGTGTGTGTGTGTTTTGTGTGTGTGTGTTTTGTGTGTGTGTTTTGTGTGTGTGTGTTTTGTGTGTGTGTGTGTTTTGTGTGTGTGTGTGTTTTGTGTGTGTGTTTTGTGTGTGTGTGTGTGTGTTTTTGTGTGTGTTTTGTGTGTGTTTTGTGTGTGTGTGTGTGTTTTGTGTGTGTGCTGTGTACTCACCTATATTTGTGGTTGCAGGGGTCGATTCATAGCACCTGGCCCCACCTCTTTGTTAGTCGCTACTAGGTCCACTCTCTCCCTGCTCCATGAGCTTTATCATACCTCTTCTTAAAGTTATGTATGAATCCTGCCTCCACTATATCACTCTCCAGATTGTTCCACTTCCTGACAATTCTATTAATGAAGAAATGCTTCCTAACATCCTTGAGACTCATCTGAGTTTTCAACTTCCAGTTGTGACCCCTTGTTGCTGTGTTCCATTTCTGAAACTTTCTGTCCCTATCAACCCTGGCAATTCCCCTCAGTATTTTATATGTCGTTATCATGTACACCCTGCCCCTCCTGTCCTCCAGTGTCGTCAGGTCGAATTCCTTTAACCTCTTGTCGTAGGACATACCCCTCAGCTCTGGGACTAGTCTTGTTGCAAACCTTTAAACTTTCTCTGATTTCTGGGCGTTCGACTAGGTGTGGGTTCCATACTGGTGCTGCATTCTCCAATATGGGCCTGACGTACACGGTGTAGAGTGTCGTGAATGACTCCTTACTTAGATGTCGAAGCGCTTTTCTTAGGTTTGCCAGACACCCGTGTGCTGCAGCAGTTATTTGGTTAATGTGCGCCTGAGATGTGCTCGGTATGATGCTCACCCCAAGATCATTCTCCTTGAGTGAGTTTTGCAGCCTTTGATCTCTTAGGCTGTACCCTGTCTGTGGTCTTCTTTGTCCTTCCCCAAGCTTCATAACTTTGCACTTGCCATTTTCGGACTAACCTTGCAGCTTGTCCAGATCCCTTTATAGGATTACCTGATCCTCGTCCGCTTGTATTCTCCTCATTAGCTTCACATCGTCTACAGGGACACCTCTGACTATATTCCTTCCGTCATGTCATTCACATGTAGAAGAAACAGCACCGGACCTAGGACTGATCCTTGTGGTACCCCACTCGATACATGCACTCTAATACCTCGTCACCTACCAGCACACGCTGTTTCCCTCCTGTCAGATACTCCCTGATCCATTGCAGTGCTTTCCTTGCCTGCTCCTCAAGCTTTACAATCAATCTCTTAAGTGGTACAGTGCTGAAAGCCTTCTTACAACAGTCCAAGAAGATGCAGTCTATCCAGCCCTCTCTCTGTCTCTTTCTTACTTCTGTTACCTTTTCGTAGAACTCCAGAGGTTTGTGAGCAGGATTTCCTTTCCCTGAAGTCGTCCTGGTTGTCATGTATTAGCTCATTCCTTTATAGGTGTTCCACCACTCTTCTCCTGATAATCTTCTCCATAACTGTACACACTATATATGTCAGCAACACTGGTCCCTCGGTTTACTGGAAGCCTCTCTGTCCCCACTGTGAATACCTCCCTACATACTTCCTGGTAGTTCCCTCTGAGCTTCCCTCCTTCCTTCCTTCCTCAGCCTTATTACCTGGTCCTTGACTGTTGTTTTTCTCCTGATATGGCTGTGTAGCAACTATGGATCAGATTTGGCTTTAGATGCTATGTCATTCTCGTATTGACACTGGGCCTCTCTCCTCAAACATGCATATTCGTTTCTGGCTCTTCGGTTCAACTCCCTATTTTCCCTAGTCCTTTGCCTTCTATACTTTTCCATGCTCTTAACACACTTTGCTTTGGTCTCTCCACACCTCCGGGTAAACCACTGGCTCACTCTGGTCTTCCCATTTTTTCTGTTACCCCCTGGCACGAACTTCTCCGCTACCTCCCTGCACTTTGTGGTCATGTGTTTCATCATTTCGTTTACTGTCTTCCCCTCCACCTCTCTTAGCCACTGCACCCCAAGCAGGAATGGCTTGTGAACTGGAATTGTGTGGGTGTGTCAAACACTCAACTCAATACCCCTCACGTCAGTGTCACTATCTTGTAAGTCCTGATCATAGTTTTCCTCAGCTTCAGAAGTTTACAGACCAACAACAGGGCAACGAGTCGAGAAAAATAAACATTATTTTTAGTCATTATTATTTGTACTGTTATTATTATTGTTGTACAGGTGTTCACTGCACACTTCGAGAGCATCTCCAGTGTACTGGGAGGGGCGTACTGGTTAACTACAGCTGGCACTGTAGTTACTCTGGGTGTGATACACCTCCCACCCACTCCCACCCACCTCACCACGCCCACCTTCCTGCTCATCCTCACCACCCACACTGCCGTGCCCTTGCCACGCCCACACGCCCGTGCCTTGGCAGGGATCACCTCCCTGCTGCCCCTGGTGCCAGCAGCTGCCTGGCCAGCTGAGTCATGGACGCCCACACAGGTATGGAACGTGTTTATCATCATATTTAAAAAAAAAATTATATCATAAGTCCACAACATGACTGGAACCTGCGCACTCTGCGCAGGGGAAAACCCACCTACGCAGTACTCTAGCCACACGGCTAAAATACTGTGTACTTTGAGGCAGAGTGCACAGGTTCGAGTCCTGCTGTGGAGAGAAAAGGCTTGTAAATAATTTCGCCCATTTGCTAATTATTAAGATATTAAAATACCTAATTAACCCTAAACAGTGACTAATAGAAAAAAAAACATTCACCATCATTGGTTTAATAGGTTTATTCTACACTTCCTGCCATATCTCTCACTCCAGTATGTTGTTATGGCAGTGCGCAGATCTGTGACAAGGCCCTCGAGTATTTTTCCAGGTATATATTATCATGTATCTCTCTCTTCTCCAGTGAGGTTTAAGGCGTTCCCAGGGTTTAACATTTTGAACTAAAGCTTTCTTCTCCACCTCCTCCTCCTCCTCCTCCTTCAGAGTGCAGGCAGAAATTGACTTACAAATGCTCACAAATGCTCAGTAATAGAGTGACAAATGCTCCTTTACACCACACAAATCACTCATTTCCTGTCAACTCTCAGAGGGACCCTGACTCTCTACCTTCCACAACATATTATATAATATAGTGTGTATCTCTGTATGTACACTGAGTGGTGTATATCTCTGTATGTACACTGAGTGGTGTGTATCTCTGTATGTACACTGAGTGGTGTATATCTCTATATGTACACTGAGTGGTGTATATCTCTGTATGTACACTGAGTGGTGTGTATCTCTGTATGTACACTGAGTGGTGTATATCTCTGTATGTACACTGAGTGGTGTATATCTCTGTATGTACACTGAGTGGTGTATATCTCTGTATGTACACTGAGTGGTGTATATCTCTGTATGTACACTGAGTGGTGTGTATCTCTGTATGTACACTGAGTGGTGTATATCTCTATATGTACACTGAGTGGTGTATATCTCTGTATGTACACTGAGTGGTGTGTATCTCTGTATGTACACTGAGTGGTGTATATCTCTGTATGTACACTGAGTGGTGTATATCTCTGTATGTACACTGAGTGGTGTGTATCTCTGTATGTACACTGAGTGGTTGTATATCTCTGTAAAGTACACTGAGTGGTGTATATCTCTGTATGTACACTGAGTGGTGTGTACTCTGTATGTACACTGAGTGGTGTATATCTCTGTATGTACACTGAGTGGTGTATATCTCTGTATGTACACTGAGTGGTGTATATCTCTGTATGTACACTGAGTGGTGTGTATCTCTGTATGTACACTGAGTGGTGTATATTTTCTGTATGTACACTGAGTGGTGTGTATCTCTGTATGTACACTGAGTGGTGTGTATCTCTGTATGTACACTGAGTGGTGTGTATCTCTGTATGTACACTGAGTGGTGTATATCTCTGTATGTACACTGAGTGGTGTATATCTCTGTATGTACACTGAGTGGTGTATATCTCTGTATGTTACACTGAGTGGTGTATATCTCTATATGTACACTGAGTGGTGTATATCTCTGTATGTACACTGAGTGGTGTATATCTCTGTATGTACACTGAGTGGTGTATATCTCTGTATGTACACTGAGTGGTGTATATCTCTGTATGTACACTGAGTGGTGTATATCTCTGTATGTTACACTGAGTGGTGTATATCTCTATATGTACACTGATGGTGTAAAATCTCTGTATGTTTCACTGAGTGGTGTATATCTCTGTATGTACACTGAGTGGTGTATATCTCTATATGTACACTGAGTGGTGTATATCTCTGTATGTACACTGAGTGGTGTGTATCTCTGTATGTACACTGAGTGGTGTATATCTCTATATGTACACTGAGTGGTGTATATCTCTGTATGTACACTGAGTGGTGTATATCTCTGTATGTACCCCTGAGTGGTGTATATCTCTGTATGTACACTGAGTGTGTGTATATCTCTGTATGTACACTGAGTGGTGTTTTATCTCTGTATGTACACTGAGTGGTGTATATCTCTGTATGTACACTGAGTGGTGTATATCTCTGTATGTACACTGAGTGGTGTATATCTCTATATGTACACTGAGTGGTGTATATCTCTGTATGTACACTGAGTGGTGTGTATCTCTGTATGTACACTGAGTGGTGTATATCTCTATATGTACACTGAGTGGTGTATATCTCTGTATGTACACTGAGTGGTGTATATCTCTGTATGTACACTGAGTGGGGTATATCTCTGTATGTAACACTGAGTGGTGTATATCTCTGTATGTACACTGAGTGGTGTATATCTCTGTATGTACACTGAGTGGTGTATATCTCTGTATGTACACTGAGTGGTGTATATCTCTGTATGTACACTGAGTGGTGTATATCTCTGTATGTACACTGAGTGGTGTATATCTCTGTATGTACACTGAGTGGTGTATATCTCTGTATGTACACTGAGTGGTGTATATCTCTGTATGTACACTGAGTGGTGTATATCTCTGTATGTACACTGTGTGGTGTATATCTCTGTATGTACACTGAGTGGTGTATATTTCTGTATGTACACTGAGTGGTGTATATCTCTGTATGTACACTGAGTGGTGTATATCTCTGTATGTACATTGTGTGGTGTATATCTCTGTATGTACACTGAGTGGTGTATAATTTTCTATATGTACACTGAGTGGTGTATATCTCTGTATGTACACTGAGTGGTGTATATCTCTGTATGTACACTGAGTGGTGTATATCTCTGTATGTACACTGAGTGGTGTATATCTCTATATGTACACTGAGTGGTGTATATCTCTGTATGTACACTGAGTGGTGTATATCTCTGTATGTACACTGAGTGGTGTATATCTCTGTATGTACACTGAGTTTGGTGTATATCTCTATATGTACACTGAGTGGTGTATATCTCTGTATGTACACTGTGGTGTATATCTCTATATGTACACTGAGTGGTGTATATCTCTGTATGTACACTGAGTGGTGTATATCTCTGTATGTACACTGAGTGGTGTATTTTCTCTGTATGTACACTGAGTGGTGTATATCTCTGTATGTACACTGATGAGTGGTGTAATCTCTGTATGTACACTGAGTGGTGTATATCTCTGTATGTACACTGGGTGGTGTATATTTCTGTATGTACACTGAGTGTTGTATATTTCTGTACGTACACTGAGTGGTGTATATTTCTGTATGTACACTGAGTGGTGTATATCTCTGTATGTACACTGAGTGGTGTATATCTCTGTATGTACACTGAGTGGTGTATATCTCTGTATGTACACTGAGTGGTGTATATCTCTGTATGTACACTGAGTGGTGTATATCTCTGTATGTACACTGAGTGGTGTATATCTCTGTATGTACACTGAGTGCTGTATATCTCTGTATGTACACTGAGTGCTGTATATCTCTGTATGTACACTGAGTGCTGTATATTTCTGTATGTACACTGAGTGGTGTATATCTCTGTATGTACACTGAGTGGTGTATATCTCTGTATGTACACTGAGTGGTGTATATCTCTGTATGTACACTGAGTGGTGTATATCTCTGTATGTACACTGAGTGGTGTATATCTCTGTAAGTACACTGAGTGGTGTATATCTCTGTATGTACACTGAGTGGTGTATATCTCTGTATTACACTGAGTGGTGTATATCTCTGTATGTACACTGAGTGGTGTATATCTCTGTATGTACACTGAGTGGTGTAAATCTCTGTATGTACACTGAGTGGTGTATATCTCTGTATGTACACTGAGTGGTGTTATATCTCTGTATGTACACTGAGTGGTGTATATTTCTGTATGTACACTGAGTGGTGTATATCTCTGTATGTACACTGAGTGGTGTATATCTCTGTATGTACACTGAGTGTTGTATATCTCTGTATGTACACTGAGTGTTGTATATCTCTGTATGTACACTGAGTGTTGTACATCTCTGTATGTACACTGAGTGGTGTATATCTCTGTATGTACACTGAGTGGTGTATATCTCTGTATGTACACTGAGTGGTGTATATCTCTGTATGTACACTGAGTGGTGTATATCTCTGTATGTACACTGAGTGGTGTATATCTCTATATGTACACTGAGTGGTGTATATCTCTGTATGTACACTGAGTGGTGTATATCTCTGTATGTACACTGAGTGGTGTATATCTCTGTATGTACACTGAGTGGTGTATATCTCTGTATGTACACTGAGTGGTGTATATCTCTGTATGTACACTGATTGGTGTATATCTCTGTATGTACACTGAGTGTGTATATCTCTGTATGTACACTGAGTGGTGTATATTTCTGTATGTACACTGAGTGGTGTATATCTCTGTATGTACACTGAGTGGTGTATATCTCTGTATGTACACTGAGTGTTGTATATCTCTGTATGTACACTGAGTGTTGTATATCTCTGTATGTACACTGAGTGGTGTATATTTCTGTATGTACACTGAGTGGTGTATATCTCTGTATGTACACTGAGTGGTGTATATTTCTGTATGTACACTGAGTGGTGTATATCTCTGTATGTACACTGAGTGGTGTTTTATCTCTCTTGTACACTGAGTGGTGTATATCTCTGTATGTACACTGAGTGGTGTATATTTCTGTATGTACACTGAGTGGTGTATATCTCTGTACGTACACTGAGTGGTGTATATCTCTGTATGTACACTGAGTGGTGTATATCTCTGTATGTACACTGAGTGGTGTATATTTCTGTATGTACACTGAGTGGTGTATATCTCTGTATGTACACTGAGTGGTGTATATTTCTGTATGTACACTGAGTGGTGTATATTTCTGTATGTACACTGAGTGGTGTATATTTCTGTATGTACACTGGGTGGTGTATATTTCTGTATGTACACTGAGTGGTGTATATTTCTGTATGTACACTGAGTGGTGTATATTTCTGTATGTACACTGAGTGGTGTATATCTCTGTATGTACACTGAGTGG